CCTTCCCTCCGTGCCCCCCCCCTCTGTCCCTGGCCCTTCCCTCCGTGCCCACCCCCTCTGTCCCTGGCCCTTCCCTCCGTGCCCACCCCCTCTGTTCCTGGCCCTTCCCTCTGTGCCCACCCCCTCTGTTCCTGGCCCTTCCCTCTGTGCCTAACCCCTCTGTCCCTGGCCCTTCCCTTCCTGCTCACTCCTGTCCTTGTCCCATAGTGTTGTGATGCCTCTACATCTGTACATGGCCCTGTGGCTGCCTAATCTTACCTGTCTACCCCTGCATGTCTGCTCCAGGATTCCTTTGCTTACTAAATGGTGTCTCTGCCTGCTGTGCGGTTCACGTCTGCTGCTTACAGCCTTTGAAATTAGAGATTTTCTGAGTTGATATTATTTGCAAATAAAAAATTAAAAACTTGGTGGTTCACAGTTTCATGTCCTGAGAGTGTGGCATGACTAGGCCACTCTCTCAGCTGTTTCGTAGCACACCCCCAGGTCCTGTGCCTCCCACTAGGGCCTGGCAACAGACCTCTACTGTACCTCCCAGTTCCAAGGCCTATGAAATAGCCTCATTTTTTATTCCTTTCTTTTGTTCTTTCTCCAGCCACTTCATTCTCTATATTAGTCAGGACTCTAGAGAAACAGAACCAATAGCCTGAATATATGATATATATGTCTCACAGAGGTGTTTATCAGATTGGCTTACACAATAGGGGCTGGGGAGTCTAGCGGTGGCTGTTCTCACAGAGGTGTTTATCAGATTGGCTTACACAATAGGGGCTGGGGAGTCTGGCGGTGGCTGCTCACTTGAGAGGCTAAGACCCCTGTAGATGCTCAATGCATGAAGATAGATGCCTCAGCAGCTGCAGATTGGTGCTGAAGGCCTGGAGGATGTCTGGAGAGCTGTGGGTCTTCAGTCCACATTGGAAGGCTGAAGAAGCTGAATGCAGTGAGGGGGTGGAGACAGCAGCAGACTAGACACCAGCAAGGAGTAAGGACAGGCACTGGGCTG